CCACTTTTTAACGAAGTAGATGATAATCATTTTGCATCGTTTATCCTTTATCTTATACTGGAAAACAAGAATTAATTGGTTTGAACAATAACGTAGATCGATACTACTTCTCAGATAGCCTAAGTACAATTCTAAACTTTGAACTAATTAAAAAATATATTTTGCAATCAATTTTCGTCACCTAGGAAAATATCAAACAAAACGAATAAGAAGGAATTATGCAACTTTTGGCCACATGATTTTTCAAAAATTATTTGATTGATTACCTAATTTTTTTTACCGAGCTTTATTTTGACCCTTTCACATATCAAACAGCATTATTTTTTAAATACACATTATTAAGGCTATACATTTCAGAAAACTTTTTCAAACCATTTTTCAGTTAAAATAATTTTTTTCAGTGTCATACATTTTAAAATGTATGCATATTTGTTTTTCTATTTTCTCCAAGCGTCGACCGGCCTGTGTAGGGGGCAGGGAACTGTCCTTGCATCAGAAAGGTTCGGGGTTCAAATCCCGGGCAAGGAATGGATGTTTTTCAATCTCTGTACTGTCTATCTTTACTGTGGGAGCGACGCTGGCCCACCTAATATGGTGCCCTTGAGCTAGAGGCCAACAAAATCGCCCTGTATATGCCTGAATTGACGGATGTTAACACAGGTGGGCATTAGAATTTTTTTTTTTCTAAGTGCTTAATAACAGTGTCTAATAAGAAAAATATTGCTTGCAATATCGTTTTTATTAGCTCAAATCTCAGAATTTTACAACATTTTAATTCGAAGTTATAATAGTTTGAAATGTTTTATATTAGTCTGTATCTTTTTCACCTGCTTAATAAGGGTCCCGAGACTCCTAGCATCAGTTTAAAAAAGTTTGCGGGTTATTAATGGGTCATAGTACCCAAAAAAATGACAACATCGATGTTTATTTTATTGCTTATAATAAAACTTCAAACTATTTCAAATGCGCTGAAAAAAAATCATCTTTTTATCTACATTTAAAAAAAAGTTATGAATGATTTTAGATTGCCCTTAAAACAGAAACTTGATCAGCAAATAGATTTTAAAGTGGTTTTTCTCATAGATCATTATTTTGTGTTTTAATCTTAATTAAATCCCTAAAGAATTTTTTCTATTTAAGATAAGGCTTTGAAGTAAACTTTTTTATCTTAAGTATGATACACTTATTTAAACTGTGCATGGAATAAGCATTACTACAATTTTTACAGCATGTTATATATACTTAACAGGAATTTCTAACTTTTTTTTCTACATTTTTACAAAATAATCTATTAAAAATGTTCTAATTGATATATCAACAAATGGATGCACAAAATTGTTAAGATGAATATTGCAAGCACAAAGAAAAAATTTGTTTTTGAAAATATGTTAAAATAAAAAAGCCTTTAGAGATTTAAAAATATTGAATTTTTCAATGTCTTTTAAAATTATAAAAAAATAAAACAGTTTAACTATTTTTTGAAGATAAATTATTGATTATAGGTTAAATGAGCATGTAAAGCATTCACAAAATGAATGATTATACTTTTATTTTAAAAAAAAATGTTTCAAGGGTACTGTGATTCCTTAAAACCTGTACATTTTATTTATTATAGTTTTTATTGTAAATGTTATTTCCTTGTAGTAAAATAATGTTTACTACTCTAGAAAGTCTTTATGTAGGTCACTCCTAATACAGCTATTATTTTTTGGTTTTTATCTATTGGAAATCTTTATGATGATCTTTTTTACATACAATTTTGATTTGAAATAAGTTTATTTCAGTTCGACAACAAAAGAGTTCAAATGAATTTTCCCACAAATGAAGTTTATCTTAAAATTGATGTTGAGGGGATAAAAAAAATATCAGGTGTGTCAATTTACACAGAGTTGTCACAGAATGGAACGCTTTGCATATGATAGATACAAAGAAAATTCATACGAAACAATTAACACCCAGTTAATGGTACGAAGTTAGCCCAGATGGCTGTATCGTCCCAGGGCTAAAGAGAATAGAAGGGCTGGTTCGCTCCTTTGAAGTAGCTCTCGCCGCGCCAATCCTCTGATTTTCCATAGTGACGTCACTTTGGCGCAAAGCTCGCACTTTTACTTCAAGAACGGAGCGCTCGGCTTTACTAGCTCTAACTAATATTGGAGCATTTCTTTTTGCGAGATATTCTAAGACATTTGTTATTTTCTATAATGACTTTCCTCAGTTTTTGCAGTGAATTTACAAGAGTTTAAAACTATTATCGAAATGCCAGTTTGCGCGATTGCAACTTGAAAAAATTTTGATAGAAGAACAAAAGGAAAAAATATAATTTTCCGCGTGTTCCCTAAAATAAATGAACAACTATGCAAAGAATGGATTTCGAAATGATGCAGTTAATATAAAACAGCAATACGTTTATTCTGTCGTTAAGAACTTTTATAAAAATTCATTATCTAAATTCGAAACCGCCTCGTTACTTCAAAAAGAAAGGCAGGTGAAAAAAATTAAAAAATGGATAAAGTCAGAGAAAATTAAAATGCAAATAAAAAGTATAAATAAAATATATAGTATATAGTTGGAATTCTCCTAAATTATTTTGTTTCAGTAATTAGCGTTTAAGGTTGATGTTTCCTAATGATTAAGTATGAACAAATTGCTATTAAAGGCATATTTTAAAATCAGGGATTCTAAATTTAACTTAACTTATTATTATAAAAGAATATGTAGATATAATGTTTTAATTACGTAAAGTTTGAAAGCTAATAACCAGAAAAAGTCTAACTTATTTTTGCAAAGAGAAAGATGCANAAATATATATTGGACATCCATTTAATAAAAATGAATGTTTCTTTTTATCTTTTAGGTTAAGAGCGATCGTAGCTTCAGCTCTAAGAGCGGAGTGAACTAGCCCTTCTATTCTCTTTAGCCCTGGTATCGTCCGGGCCAACTTCTTCGATAATTCCCTCTTGCAGCCATTCTTTAAATACTGCTTCATAATCTTCTAATGTTTCTGATTTCTTTAAGGACTCAACGCAGTTCTTCAATCTTCTTTCAGCTACACTTCTAGAATCAGGCCAAGGAAGATCCACGGAAGGCTCCTTTCATATCTCCCATCTTCAAGTTCCTTTATATTGCGATTAAAATGGTCTTCGGCATCTCTTGCAACCACTTACTTTTATCCACGAGCCGTTTCTTATTTTAGGAATTTCTGTCCGAATTTTTACCTGATCATAAACTTCAAAATTACAAAAATAATCCCGATTTAAATTGCTCAAAATTTTTTTATATTTATCATGCTGATGTGTTCTTTGCAATCCACCGAAAAGACAATGATTTGAGTTTTCTTGCCTTATTGGTTTGTAACCTATTTTACTTATTGTTTCTTTTAAAAGATACGACTTTTGGGTCCCCGTGTCTATCAATCTCCGTATAACGATTTCTTTTTGTCTGTTTATTAAGCTAATTGTTACAATTGCATTAATACTTCCGGATTGCAAATTAAAACCATACTTTCTGCTTTACTATCTGTTTTCTTTTCCGGACACATAAATGCATAATAACGTCTAAAACATACATCGCATTTTACAAAACTCCTGCATTTTTCAGCCGTATGACCAAATCGAAAATAAATAAAGCAACAACCGCTCCTCTTTAAAATATCCATTTTCTCATCTATTTATTTATTTCATTTTGAATTCCTTACAATCCCATAAATTATGTCTATAGTTATAGCAAGAGATACATTTTTTTTAATTATTATTACTCGATTCATTTAATAAACCTGACGCTGTTGATATGCGGTTTTTTATTTTGTTTATTCGAATTCTCGGCTCCACTGCTACGCTTTGAGGAGGGAACATTCTGAAACTCGTGTTATAGAGGATGTGGCTTTTTCTCGGCTAATTACATCCTTTTTAAAATTTCTAGGATCTCTGATATTTTCCACTCGTCATCATTGCTATATTCTTTAGTTATTTCTAACACTATATCTGAGGGAAATAATTTAATAAGTATAGGACAGAGTAAAGCCCCATAATTTTCTTGTTCAATTGCCAAAGATTCTAAATTCCTTATTTCGGCTTGACAAGAATCAATAAGTTTTCTTAATGAAAAAATATCTGTTGATTTTTCTACTGGGGTTAAACTCGATGATTTATTCAAATGAGAGTTAATTATCGACGTTTTCTTGCCAAAGCGTTCTTTTAATGTTTCAATTGTACAATAATGAAAAATTGCGACTTATACATTAATGGGTTAATTCAAAAATATGAATCCAGTCCTCTTTTTTTCTGTGAGTGCTATAACCCTTATGTTTGAAATTTTAAAATCATCGCGACCAGCNCGCCCCAAAAATTAAAGAGAATGCCCTATAAATCTCAAAAAATGCTCTAAAGGACAAAAAATGTCCAAAAATGCAAAAAAAAAATGCAAATGTCATCAAAATCCGGGCCCTAGTTATTTCTAACACTATATCTGAGGGAAATAATTTAATAAGTATAGGAGTAAAGTAAAGCCCCATAATTTTCTTGTTCAATTCCCAAAGATTCTAAATTCCTTATTTCGGCTTGACAAGAATCAATAAGTTTTCTTAATGAAAAAATATCTGCTGATTTTTCTACTGGGGTTAAACTCAATGATTTATTCAAATGAGAGTTAATTATCAACGTTTTCTTGCCAAAGCGTTCTTTTAATGTTTGATACATATGTTTGATAATGTTTGATACATTTGATAATGTACAATAATGAAAAATTGCGACTTATACATTAATGGATTAATTCAAAAATATGAATCCAGTCCTCTTTTTTTCTATGAGTGCTATAACCCTTATGTTTGAAATTTTAAAATCATCGTGACCAGCTGCTTTTCAATCGGTTCAGCTATTCTTAAACAAATCCATCTCCACTTAAATTAAATTTTGATAACTTCTTTTTATTTTCTCTGTATTTTCCAGTATTCCGTTTATTTGTGCACAAATCTTTGTTTAAAATAGTCTCTTTTCTTTTTACAGCTCTTTGGTAATGCTATGAACGCAGTTTTAGTTTTCACCCAGTCCACTAGTTCTGTTGCTGCTCCTCTGGGATGGGGTCTAGCTCTAATGGTGGCAATCGCAGTTTCAGGAGAAGCTTCTGGTGAGTCTTCTATTTACGCGTTAAATGTTCACGATACTGTACATGAAATTCGATAAGCAGCCTCAAGAAGTACGAGTCACTTCAATATTTGTTAAGACTTTGCGTTTGTTTATATACTGAAAAATCGATTTAGCAAACTCTCTACATTTCGCCCAACTATTTAGTAAAGTCTTCATATTTCTTTTTCTCATCCACCTGACCTTAAGTGAGCCGACGTACCTTTAAGCTAACTAAAATATGCATCGTTCATTCCTCATTTATCCTGATTTAGTTCGGGTAGTTAACATTTAGCCCAAAGTTAAGGGTGAGACTTACTGTAAGGCTGTTGTTTCTTATCCAAGCTGATTAGCCATTGGTCCAGACCTGATGCAAGAAGTTATAAACTAACAAAAAAATTAGCAGAAGATATGAACCTCCCATTGCAAGTACAATGCAAAAAGGAAGATGTTGTTACTTATGCCTCTTGCTAATACCAGCAAGCCTGCTTGAAATCAAGAGAATTCTTTAGGCAGATGGTGCGTTTTTTAATTTTTTAGTGGCACGATCTATTGCCAAGAATACATTCAGCCACACACGCGTCCAAACCCGTTTTATAGGGAGGATCCAATCATATACTCCATTCATTTATCCAGGGCCGGGATAGCCTGGTCGGTAGGGCGCTGGGCCCATGTCCGAGAGTTCGTGGGTTCTAAACCCGCCGACTGAAAGCTCCCCGTGCTGTAAATGGTGACTAAAGTCTGTCGAGTCGTAAAGTCCTCTATGTTGCCATAACAAATCAATACCTCTGGGAGTACTGAATTGGAGATTGATTATTTCGGTAAGTATATCTCTGAATGTTTTGGCAACGCAAGTGATTAAAGTTGCATGCTTTTCGAAGCGATGATTCAATGGATTCTTTCATTTCCTACCTTCCTTGGTTGCATTAAACTTAATGAAAATAAGAGCCTAGACAAAACATTGCCTTCAAAGACCTGCTAAAATTTTGAAGATATAACAATTAAGCAGAATTCAAACTGCACAGCTGCACAAACTTAGTGTCAAAGCACACTTAAAAAAATCAATTCCCGAATTGTATTTAAGTATAATTTCATTGTGTTTTACTTTAACGAACATTATCTGTATTAGCAGGGCCGGATTAACCTATAGGCACGCTAGGCACGTGCCTAGGGCCTACGAAATTCAGGGGCCTACGAAAAACTTGGGAGAAAAAAATTTGTTGACAAAAATAATTTAGCTTTAAAAACAACAAGTGTATTTTGCACAAAATTATGAAGATACAAATAAAAATATAATATTTTTCGGTAATAAATTATTTTGCAGAATCTTATGATCTAATATATTACTTTTTTGCGATTTTTGGATTCAACGAAATCTTGTATTATGCTGTCGAATTCCAAACTACGCAAAATGTCGTATTCAATAGACATAAGTGCGAGCGATGCCAAACGATCTTGATTCATTGTTGAACGCAAATAATTTTTTATCAATTTTAATCTGGAGAAGGATCTTTCTCCTTCTGCATTTGATCCAAGAATCGACAAATATATTCTTAATGCAATGTGAACGTTAGGAAAAGTATTCACAAGTTTATCTTTAATTTGAGCCTTCAACATTTCTTGTGCAGATTTATGTTCATACAAATTTGAAAATAGTAAAAATTCATCTACAAAGTTTTCCTCTAAATCGGATGAGTAAATTTTCACCAAATTTTGCGCTTTTAGTTTAATCTCAGATTCTGACAAATTTTTGTGAACAAGAAAACCGAAATTATCGTACAAATCACTGTAAGCTTTACGCCTTTTAGTCATTTCTGAAATTAATACATCTAAAATGGCGTAATACGTTTCCATACGAAGAAAATTTTAGCATATATTTTGAAAAGAGGGGAGGAGTGGGGGAAGGAGGGGAGGGCCCATAAACGGCTGTGCCTAGGGCCTACGAAAGGTATAATCCGGCTCTGTGTATTAGCGATGCATCATATACTTGCGTGTTTTTATTGTTGACAGATCAAGTGCTACACTTTCAAACTTTTTACTTTACTGTCACACCTTGGATTTCATTAAAAGTCTCCGAAAGTCTCAGAAAATTGATTCTATATTATGTTTTGAATGCCTACGACTTGGTTTTTGTTACGATAGTTGGCAATGATTAAAACATAAAAGTCTATCACATTAGCTATGAATGATGTAATAATTTGATTGATAGATTTAAATAGGAACTGAAATTTTCTAATTAGTTTTTTTTTTTATCCCTTAGGTTGTCATGCAAACCCGGCTATAACAGTAGCGTTTGCCAGTATTGGAAAATTTAAATGGGAGAAAGTCATGCCCTACTTTTTCGCACAATATGTTGGCGCATTTCTTGCTTCCGTAGTACTTTATGTACTTTATTTGGGTAAGATATGAACAAAAATAGGAACATTTTAATACGTAATTTTAATTTAAATACTGATTCAAAACTACTCTACTGAATAAAAGAAAATTTATCATTCATTCTAATTTTAAATAATTCAAAGTATTTTCAACATTAAATTTATAGATAAATTTTTTGTTCAATAGTGTTTTATACCGTTAATCTTTAAAATATATATATTTTTTTGTTTTAAATTATTGAGCATAAATTATTTTAAATTGAAATAAACTCAAATTATAATGATGTGTAATCGTGCATACTTGTAAGCATATTCTACATTTAATTTGAATGTGCATGTGGATGAAAAATCTAATAGAAATATGTTTCTTTACTAAAAACAAAATTGAAAGATAATTTTTAAAACAAAAGTAATAAATCTTGAATTTTCTTTGTTACGACAAACGCAAAAATTATTTTAATTAACATTTGTCTAACTAATTGACAAGCTTAGTGACGAAATATTATATGTGACAATTGTGTTTGTAGAAACATCAGCTGTAACAATACAAGAGCAAGAAGTTGTTTTCAAAACTAATTCTTTTCTTGAAAACTGCCTCATTAATGACCTGGGGAATCAAAGACGTTTTTAAATCCAAAACTCCATGCATGGTTCTTTTTACTCTCTTTCTCTCTTCAATTACTTAATAACTGAATAAAAAAAATATTTCAATATTTAGACGGCATCTGATAGCTATTTCAGCAGCTGGAAGTTTTATTCAGTTAGCATATTAGCCGAAGTAGATTGGGACGTAACGAGCTTTCTTTGAATTAAATCAAGTCTGATATAGATAATAACTCTTGGCAATAAAAGTTTGACTTCCTGTTTCAAGCGTTTGCCATTCGGATTAACTTACAGCCCATTTCTATTTTCTGCCCAACAGCTTCAAAATACTTTGAGAAATCTGATTTTCTGGACGATTTTGCTATGGGTGTAGAAAAACAGATGAAGACGCTATTACTTTTTACGAAGAGATTTAACATCCCCCATAAGTCTCCCATTAGCAAAATGATTTACTAATTCGACAACTTTGAAAATAAAGTGGATACAAGAAAACCTAACTTTCGTCAATGATTTTCAAATTTTGGGAGGCAGCTTAAACACTGAAGAAGATACATTTCATTAGGAAATCAAAGAAAAATTTCTGACTAAAGCCAAAAACTAGCTACAAAACATCTGCTCTTAAAATCTATATTAAAGTTTTATGATCCTTTAGGAATGTTTGCTTCAGTATCAGTCATTTTATATTTTATTTTGTAACCGTCGTTGAACAGCCGACTCAATTTTGGGTTTACGACTATTAATGCTCCCCTCCGTAGCCTTGTAATTTTGAACCCCATCCAGAAAACAAGGGATTGGGTGAAACTCGCCTTCGTGGAGGACTTTTTTGATGGAACTAACTCCATTTGCGCTACATGAAGAGGAAGACCACGAAAACCTACTATGGTTAGCCTGACGGCAAGGGGACTCTAACTCACCATCCATTTACCACTGAGGATATTTCACGTCAGCACTGTGATCGGTACAAGCTGGATGAGGAATTCGTATCGACCAGGTATCGCTGGGATTCGAACCCGGTTCACCTCAGTGGAAGACGAACGCTCCATCCCCTGAGCTATCGCCGCTTTGTACCAGTCATTTTATTTTATTTTATAACCGTCGTTGAACAGCCGACCCCGTTTTGGGTTTACGACTACTAGTGTTTAACTACGTAGCCTTGTATTTTTAAGCCCAATCTAGAAGACAAGGAAACTCCTAGATCTGTACCCCCAGAGGTATGATTTGTTACGGGAACATGGANACACGGGGAGTCTTCGACCGGCGAGGATCGAACCCACGATCTCTTGGACATGGGCCTAGCGCCCAACCGACCAGGCTGTACCGGCCCCTATTGTACCAGTCATTGGAAAGATTTTATTATAAAACACAAGGATCACGGGGATACATAGGGACGAAATTTTACAGCTAGGTATAGCTAAACAATGGCGCGCATGGTCATCAAAATTATACTGCCTAAACGATCAACACATACCGAGATGGATTGGTATATCTGCAAACTCCGATGCTACTTTACATGTATTTTGTGATATTTCTGAAACTTTATATCTTTTTTACACTTAAGACAAAGCTAGTTTGTAGAAAGAATTGACTTTTCCCTTTAAAGCGAGTTACTCTTCCGAGGCTGGAATTATTAGCAGCTTTGGTTGGTGCCCGCTTACCTCATTATTTTTGCCAGGAGACGAATTTAAATATTAGTAAAGCAATTCTATGGTTTGATTCTAACGTGATAGATTAACCACTTAACATACGAAGACGTCTGGGAGACTTCATTTGTTTCTTATGTCAAAACAATAATTGACGTGTCTCAGACGTCTTCAACCCAGAGATGCCAACTTGCTCCGGACAACAAATAAATATATCAAAGTGGTAGTTTATCAATTGCGATTCTTGGTTTAATAAATTCAATTTAGTAGATTTCTATCCACCACTATTTCTAAATAATTCGTAGGCTTATACAATTCACCACTTTATAGTAGTTATGTCATGCCATACCTTTTAAAAAGCAAGCAAAATGAGTAAAATATTTGCAAAATTTAGTTTGTAGTTATTTACCGTTTTTTAAAAATAATTTCGGCGTGTCCGGAGCAGTTGGCATCTCTGTACGACATTCCGTTGCGAGTTGTTGTTTACAGTGCAATCAAAGATCATTCCTATATCAAGAAATGATATGTCAAGGCGTTAAAGGAAATCCAAATCATTGGAAGTACATAACCACGTTACCGAAATTCTTAGCTACACAGTTCCCAATCAATGGGGATATGGCTCAGAACACCCTTCTGACGCTAAAGGAATACCACCTGCCCATTTATAAGATCATGCTCTATGGTCCATCATTTTTGTTTGAATCATCATACAAGTGGCCAAAAGAATAAAAAAATACTAAGGTTGAAAATCGAAAAATATCCATAATAAGAAATCGAAAGATAGAGGTGTTGGAAATCTCTTAAACATCACTGTTTATTCAAGATACAGTTCGCATAAAAGACTTCTCCATATTGGTGCTTTCGCTTTATTCACAATGCACGAACTCATACACGGAAAACGAGAGAATTTACAGTCTTTGTACTGGAAGAAGCTAGAAATTATCTTCTAAGAACGTCTCAGGGAAATAGCTCTCAGAATGACGTGTGAGCTCCAAAAAACAAATTTTAGTTACCTATTAAATTCGGAAATAAGTCGATTCAATCCTTTTCTGGAAAATAGACTTGGAGGAAGACTTCAGTTTTCTAAACTTTCTTTTTTTGAAAAACATGCTTTGCTCGAATAGATGGACATGATGCACCTACAATACTTCTAATATGTCACACTCACATACATTTGCATTACCTAGGAGTAAGAAGTATAATCTAAACTTCGGTCAGAATTTTGTATTATTAGAAAACGGCAAGGAATAAAAGGGATTATTCTAACGTGTTTACCATGCAAATGTTTAATCAGAGGAACAGATTGAAGTTCCATTAGGTAAAGTCAATATATTTAACAGTTCCAAATTATAGGTGTTGATTTTGCTGGACCCTTGCATGTTCGTCAGTTTACAGGAAGCTCTATACACATGTGGTGTCATAAGAGCACTACATCTTGAGCTTATCTCTGATTTGTTAACCAACAAATTTATTAAAAAGCTCTTGTTCTCAAACTAATATTTATAATTAAAGTAAAATAATTATTTTGCAACACTTAAAGTTTTATCTACCTTTCAGCATTAAAGATCAAGTGAAATAATTTGAATATAAATACCTCACTTATGGTCATAGTTCTACCTCATTTAAGGTTAATTTTTTCTTCAAGATATAAGCCGGTATTAACTTAAAATGACTGTAGTAAAGCTAAAATGTTCTTAGTCCATCTTTTATTATAAATTCAGACAAATTCTTAGAAATCGTGAAATTCTAACTGGGTGAGTGACTTTTTATTTCTTTCATCAAGTTTGCGTCAAATGTTAACCACTCCGAAATCATTGGATTACTGGATTTAAAGTAAATATATATCCCCGTGTTGTACTCTGTCTGTGTGTGTGTGGTAATGGCAATCTGACATTCTATTACCTATTCCAATTATTTTAACTGTTTATTCTGAATGTTTACATTTTACTTAATTTTGAAATCAATTGCTTAGTATTTATACCCTGCTGTTGTTTTTCAGAATATACCTTATTTTAACCATCCATAATACCTTGTTTGCACTGACCAATTGATTGCGATTAAATATTACGTCAGACTTAAATATCCCTTTTTAGCAGTTCACGGGTCTTCCGCAATGAAATAAATGCAAATTAGATAACCTTTACGCTGCGATTTCTAAAGGCAATATAGAAGTTAAGTATTAATAAGAAATATTAGTTAAGAAAGGCAAAAGCAGTATAGAAGTAGCAAAATTTTTCACGACCCGTGACTTCCGTAGAGATTTCTTTTTCATTCTATTTATAACAGTGCAACCCGCTGATTTACTTTTCATGGTTGCGGCTTTTCAGTGAATTTCAATTATTCATTCTGATCGCGGATAACATATTTCTGAGAAATATGCAAGCATGTTTTGCATGTCATTCTTTTCAAAGTCTGCTGTTTATTGCTCAGAAAACTGAAACTGGCAAAATATTAGCAAAGAAATGCGTTTTAAAGTACCTCGGGTCTTGTTTCGAAGTTTATCATACTAAAATTCATTTCTAAACAATTTTTTTACGTATTTTTGCATATTTTCATTAGTATATACACTTTACCTTTGTATTTCCTAAAATAAATCATAATTAAAACTAGATTTATTTTCAGAATTTTGCTTTTAAATGATCATTCTGCAATTTTCTGACAAACTTTTTCCATATTTTAAAAAAAATACTAATTAAAATTTTTTTTATATTTTAACTCTAAATGTAGATTCAAAGTATGTAAAAAAAATGCTATTTTTAACGCATTTTGATGTAAAAAAATTACTAATTACAGTTAGAGGGTTAATCCTGCCAATCAGTATATGTGAATCAAAATAAGTATGCAAGCATCGAAGTGCATGAATTAATGTATCCCAATAAATATTGAAGTACTTGGGTATAACGGATAGGTCACACTTTTTATAAAAGTGTCAATTTTAAATTGATCCTTATAAGTACTATACTATATAAAAGATAAGTACTATACAGAGAAGTACTATACAGAGAAGTACTATAGAAATAATAAAAATTTCCCCTAACACCACAATACCACAAACATCTTTTTGCCTTCTTGGAAATAGTGTTTTTTTTTCCTCCAAAAACACTCCTTAAAAAAGCTATCCAGTACAGTAAAATGTGGTTTATCACTATTTTTCCTATAGTTGGTATGTTAATCTATTACAAACTGAACGGTTTTAAAAAATAAATATCTCATACATTACATAAAAAGAGATTATTTAATCCTAATCATATCATTCACATTTCTTTTGTTTAACAAACAATGCGTATAATTATTACTTCCTGTGATAGTCTTATCTGATTGCTTATCTTAAATAACAATGTTGTAACTTGTTGTAGTTGGTAATTGCTTGGTCACATCAATTTATAAATAGAATTAATCTGTCTAATGAACTGTTTTAATTTGTTGATTAGATATTTTTGTTTAAATCAAGGTTATTGGGAAAAAACAAAGTACAGATAAGCTACAAAATTAACCACATTGTTCTGCTTAGAAACCTCTTACGTTAAAGTACAGAAAGTTCATAAGTACTAAAGATGAAATAGGCTCACCACGATCCCGAAAGCCCAGGCCAGCCGTGGGCTCGTTTACTAAAAAAAGTTTTCAAACCCGGGCGGGCTTGGATTCATAAGATTTTCATAAACATTTTTAATATTTTTAAACAAGCGTTTGGTACTGTTATTAAGTATAAAAAATGTAAAATTTATTAATTAATTGTGTTAAAAAGGTTTTAATGACTAATTTCCTTGCATAGGCAGCAAAGGCCTTATATCGGGACTGCAAAATTTGACCTTTATCCGACATATATCTCGGGTGGGCTCTGATTAAAACTTTTCGGGATCGGAGAGGCTCGGACCATCAAACGCTAGCTCGGACTCATCTCGAATAACTGAAGGCAGCATGAATGCTATTTTTGCCGCAATATCCATTTTTGCCGTATAATTTAATGGAACAAAATTCTAATAAACCAAAATTTTTACAGTAATATTTTTTTTAATAAAATCACTGAATCACTGTAATTAAATAAATATTGCTATAAAAATTGCGGAATAAAATTTTACAGTAAAAATAGATTTTGCGAACATAGTAATTTGACTTTTTTGACGTATTCACAACCGGAATTTTTCACAGAGCAAAATAAGAATTGTGAATTAGTAGAAATAATATTGTCATCTGCCCAAATAATAATGATACGTTTAAAATAAATTTTAAAATATTGTAATTTCTAGACAATTATTTTCCTTTACTTGAAAAATTTGCAAGCGATGCAGTTAATCAAATTTTATAAACAGACAATAAAAACTGGATTGAATGATATCGATTGCAGGTCATTCAGTTGAACTTTATTTAGTTTTCTTTACCCGCTGCGATCGCGATCTACAATGTAACCAAGCTCATCATCTTCTTTGAAAAACTTTGACTGCATGATCTGAAGATCCCGTAGATCTTAAATGTTTGGAGTAAATTCTGCTTTACTTTCTACTATTTTCATTCAACTTTTTTCTATCTTGAATAACTCGTGACCACCGGCTGAATTTATCACCGTTTCTTCATATTAATAACGTGTTATTTTAATTTATTATAGGATTAACTGATTCAAAACACGTGCTCAATATTCAAATACTGAAAATCAGATTTTTTTATTTTTTAAATATATACCTTCATTCTTTAAATTCAGTGTGTCCAATAGAATCCGTTTCTACCCTCTTAACTTCCAAATAGCTTTAGCTATATATAT